TATATATAAATTAAAATACTTTGCTGTGTAGTAGTATATAAATACAATACTAGTTAAAAGATAGAATAATAATAATGTTGTAATATATAAATATGTATCTCGACCACAGGTCTCTGTGGTTGAGTTGGTAAGACCTTCGCACGTTAAGAAAAATGTGCTGAGTTCGAGTAGTGGTGGAGGCAAGGTTTCCTTTTCATTCTGATCAGATTTCCCTCTTCTGTTGCATTTAAATTGTACATTATTATTTACAAAATGGGTTTATCCCATTGGTCTATTAAATTAAATAAGTATATAAATTATTAATATTTTCTATAATTTGTTATTTTATTATATATGCGCTTAAATATAATGTCCTGTGGACGTTCTGCCCTCAGTCAGCTAATTGAAAATTTATTTAAATATTGTTAATCCGTCATAAAATATATACATTATAATGTCAACTGAATATATATATATATATATATATATATAAACATTGTCAATAGGTAAATGATAGAAGCAATGCTTATTGTTATTTGTTTATATATAGGTTTATATATACATGTATATAGGTATATACTTTATTATATGTATCTAATAATATATATAAAGAAATTATTGTATACAGTGAGTTTAATGAGAATATATATATAAACATTGTCAATAGGTAAATGATAGAAGCAATGCTTATTGTTATTTGTTTATATATAGGTTTATATATACATGTATATAGGTATATACTTTATTGTATGTATCTAATAATATATATAAAGAAATTATTGTATACAGTGAGTTTAATGAGAATAAAAGTATATAAAAATTCATTTAAAGCATATTAATCTCACTGAAAATTGTACATACATAATTACTATATATATACATATGCATATATACATATATATATATTATATATATATATATAAATATTTCATAGTAAAACATTTGAATTCTGAGAGTATGGATATGATTCTAATGTCCTAATGTAATACACGAGTTACGTAATTTTTAAGATACAATACTTGACCTTGAATGACCTATTTCGTCGCTCACATCACGAACTAACACAATCAAAGTAGATTGTGTTAGTTCGTGAAATCACAGTAGCGCGTCAAAACGAGCGCGTATTGGTTGTCAAGCAATTTTGTATTCTTTACCACACAAAAAGTCCTTAACGACAACAGCGCGTATTTTGACGCGCTTTTTGGATTTCACGAACTAACACAATTTAATTTAATTGTGTTAGTTCGTGATGTGAGCGACGATTTGTGGCAATCTGACCAGGTAAAAAATGGTAATGGTATGGTATATACATTGAATGACCATGTCACAAGTGTTATAAATTCTCATTAAAGTGGTTTAAAAACCGATAGAGGCCTATATTGATAAATATAGGATTTGCGTGGCAGCAATTTTGAAATTCAAGAAGGCCGCCAGAATGACCTTGAATGAAATATTGAATTCTGAGAGTCAGGGTATGGTTCTAATGTAAAATATGACAATTATGTAATTTTTAAGATACCATACAATATTTGACCTTGAATGACCTTAAATGACCTATTTGTGGGAATCTGACCAGGTCAAAAATGGAATGATGGTATTCCTTGACCATATAAAAATGGTTTCAGACATTAGAATTATAATTCCAAGTGGTTTAGAAGCGGAGATATAGATAAACATAGGTTTTATTAGGCGGCCATTTTGAAATCCAAAATGGCCACCTTAATGACCTCGGATGAGGTGGTTCCTACAAAAATTGAATGCTATGACCATAAGGAGCATGTAAAAAAAATTGTTTTTTTGTCCGGAACGTCCACATGCATCTGCTAAGCTGCCGGACTAATTGCTTTAACAGTAGAAATGATATTTCTACTAGTAATAAACATTGCTGTAACAGTAGAAATAATATTTTGAAAATGATGTTTTACCATACCGGCCTGCTCAGTATGTTGAAAAAAATACTCTAAAAAATTTGACACGTGTTCGTCTCGAACCCAGGGCTATAGCTCAGCTACGGGTTGTACGCATGTATATAGGGCGGCCTGGGCCATGTCATAGTCAGGGGTGGCGCCAAGATTTGCCCGACGGGGGTGCCCGAGGTCCCCGACGGGGAGGGGGGCGGTTGAGCTTCGATTAATAGGTTTCGAAAGTGGTCCTGGGGGCGAGGCTCCCGAAAATTTCGACAATTTAGGGGTTGGAAAGGCTTATTTAATCGATTTTAGAGTCTACTAATATGTAAAAAATACATATAATATTTTTTTCTCCCCGACGAATTGTGTTTTTTCTCCCCAACGGGGGAGGGGTGGAGTGGCAGCTCTTCCCGACGGGGGACCCTGGACCCCTGCTTGCGCCACCCCTGGTCATAGTAGGGATTTTTTTTAATGAAAAAAGTGAAAATCGATCAGTTTAATTGATTAATAAGTATATCTAGCAGTTATTATGTAGGTCTATCTAATAAAAATTGCTGATTT